ACTCTACCCAGTCCTGAGAAGGAAGACAGTGAAGCCGTTAATGAAGTTACTACCACTGATGTGACTGTTGCAGATAATGGGACATTTCCTGATGGAGCAGATGAACCCCACGTGAAGCAGAAGCTTCACCCCACGTGAGTCCAGTACGAAAGAAGATACGTACCATAAAATTAAGATTTTTTTATTGTATTTTAATTTGGTGTTTGTAAATTCTGTACATTTAATTATGTTATTGTTAATTATCTATTGTTTAATGTAAGTGGCTATTGTTCGGGACGAACAATACTAAGGAATGGGCAGTGTTACGAAAGCGGAAGTCACGCGACGCTGGGAGCATGCGCGCTGGATTTTCTAGAAGGATTATGCATTTTTCTGGCAACTCTAGTTTGTTACAGGCGCCTTCTTTTTTAGTATATAAACTCGGCAAATAAAGTGGAGATAGAATTGCAGAGATAGGCAGATAGATTGAAGACAGTGATAATTGAGTCAAGCGAACAGTAGGCATCGTAAGTAAAGTGTTTGAATCACTTTGATTTATAGCTTGTGTTATAAAGGTTGTTAAGTTTAAAGTGACTATGGAAATTCTGTGTATTACAAAGTTGTATCGAGAAAGAATAAACTAGTTTTAATTAAAAAAGGACTTGTATCTCTGAAGTTCCTTTGAAAGAATTTATACCAGAAATTAACAAACGACCAGATACGTAACAATATGTAACTATGATATTCCAGAGTGTAATTGTTCATGATATTTAGTAACTATCAATGTCAATTTCAAATCAAATATACAAGTCAAAGGTCAACCAAAAAATGTCTTTACGACTTTATTACTCCCTCTATTAATGCTTAGAGACGGCTTGAATGGCTGGTGTATTAAAGTTTTCTTCATTACCCATTCAAGCCATCTCCAAGCATTATTAGTCTCAAAGTGGGTTCCTCATCATCGAATTACTTCTTCTATTGTTTCCATTGGTTTAATATAAGTGGCTAGTGTTCGGGACGAACAATAATAAAGAAGAGGCAGTGTTACGAAAGCGGAAGTCACGTGACTCTGGAAGCATGCGCGCTGGAGTTTCTATAAGGATCATGACTGCTCCTGGCAACTATAGTCTTTTCTAGGCGCCCTCTATTTTAGTATATAAGCATGGCAAATAAAGCGGAGATATAATTGCAGATAGACAGATATAGAGACAAATAATTGAGTCAAGTGAGCGGTAGTATCCTTAAGTAAAGTGCGTGAATCGTTGTGAATTGTAGCGTGTGCTCAAGTGAAAGTGACTGTGGAAATTAAGTTTATTACAACGTTTGTAACGAGAAAGAATAAACTAGTTTTAATCAAGAAGGGACTTGTATCGCTGAAGTGTCTCGGAAAGAATTTTTACCGGAAATTATCAAACGACCAGAGACGTAACAATGTAATAGTAACAACAGCAATCAGTAATAGGCGATGGTAATAACAATATTCTGTTTAAGCATCTGTTCAAACTTTCAACATAATAATACTGGTGTTATTTCTCAAATGATCATGTTATACTCTTCAGCTGAGTAAATCGGCGTCTCAAGAGAGTTACCCTGGTGATAGGATAAATTGTAAAAGTTTAGTGTTTCATACACTGTTCGCCAAATTTTAAATCAAAACGTATTAGCCTTACGTTCCATTGTCGGAGTAGGCTTAATGTTAGTATGTAGATGCGACTATTTGGTTTCGAGGATAAACCGAACTCTCGAAAAAACTGTTATAGTAAATGTCATAAAATTATACAATGAACCATGTATTTCTCCTTGTTTCAATAAACCTATGAGTCAACTGTTGATTTAAACTCAAAATTCTGACTGTTGGTCTGCTATTAACACTTTTTGTGACATTCGAAACCTAAACTCTAAATCGGTCCGGATGACTCGACTTAGCTTCAAAATAGGACTTTCAAAAAACGTTGTCCTTACATACACGGACATTCACGTTTTAAAGCACTGTTCAAATACACTATAGGCTGAATCACTTCTAGGATATACCCGTACACAATTCTTGCCCCCTCCCCTCAATGTTTTTGATTTCTACTTACTTTTTCATTTCTCCCCGGTGGGCCTGCGGTACGATTACCGACTTACAACACTAGCAAACGGGGCTCGATTTCCCGAGATTGACAGAGTGTATATAGTCCATTATGTAGCTTTGCATGACCACAGCAAAAACTTAATCATTTTAGTTGTGTTGAACGTGAAGAGTAAGGCCAACTCTGACATCACGTGTATGTGAAGGTGTTTCCTAGTAACACAATCTGATAAACTTATCACGTATAATAAACTTACTAGTTACCTTTGTTTAGCATGTCACCTGAAACCTTGTAAAGGAAATAACACATTAATAACGAAACTAAAAGGTTTAGTGTTACCTTGGTTTAGCATATCACCTGAAACCTTGTAAAGGAAATAACACATTAATAACGAAACTAAAAGGTACCTAATACAAGGTTTAGGGTTACCTTTGTTTAACATACCACCTAAAACCTTGTAAAGGAAATAACACATTAATAACGAAACTAAAAGGTACCTAATACAAGGTTTAGTGTGTTTAGTCGAATGGTGATTTTTGGACTTGGTGTATTTTTTTTTGAAGTTTCTGAAATATCCCTCTGTAAACCAAAACCAAATATGATATTGTTACGCCTCGGAGGGATCTTTATTAGACGGTGATAGCCTGTGTTTATTTTGTGCTCTACAAGGTTTGTGCAGGTCATGATCTCCTTTCGAAAAGACGTCTGCATAATTTGCCAAAAGTTAGAAATACAACTGTAAAGAAAGAACATACATTTCCAGAACATTTAACTGACCTCTATAAGAAGAGCATAGTCCATTTGGCATCATCACAGGCTCTTCAGGTAAAATTGCTTTAACATTGACTGGCTTTCGAATTTGAATCCTACGTTAAGTCCAGCACAGAGGTACCGAGGTTGGTACAGTCATCTGGATTCAAGGCCAGAAAAGGTCAGCTTTCAGAGAAGTTTGAGGAACTTTGCTGACACTGTAACAAACCTGGGCACAAGAGAGCTCAATGCTGGCAACTTCAACACAGGGGAGACGATACAGCAGTGATGTCTGCTACCAAGAAAGGCTGTTGGAACTGTGGGGAGCAAGGACATCTGAGGAGCCAGTGTAAGAAAAATACCACCAATAAGTCAGCTTCGGAAACCAGTAGTGGTTGATGCTAAGGGATGCCCACCAACCTCCATCGTGAAAGTCCCAACAGCTAAGTGTAAGATGGCAAGCACACATAGTATCTACGTGACAGGGAAGCTGGATGGCCAAAGGTGCAACTTTGCATTAGATTCTGCATCTCAGCAAACCCTTGTGAGCATCAAGGTGCTGGATAACAAAGGAGTACCAGAAGCTGTACAGAAGCACTGTGGTGTGACAGGACATTCTGCAAGGTTGTGGGGACCAGTGTGGGTAACTATCGAGCTCATGGGCATGAAGAACAGACAGAAAGTATACTTGGCTGACATTGAAGACCAATGCATATTAGGATTGGACTATCTACTACCGAGGAAGTGTGTAGTTAACTTCGATAAAATGACGATTGGAAACAACAAAGGCCAGATTCTAGTAAGTGTTGCTACATCCATTGCTCTGCATGTCACAGAACTTAAATCAACTACAATACTGTCAGAGAAGATAATTTGGGGTAGGATAAAAGAACATCCCCATGGAAGCCCGATGCTTATAGAAGCAGTGGAAGACACATCCAGGCCAGCAGATTTGAAGATTGGAAGGTCATTTGTGGCAGGTCATCAAGTAATTCCTATAACAGTGGCCAATTTCTCTAAATGTGAGCAGACACTTAAGGAAGGGGCATTGTTGGGTGTGTGCCAGGAGGTAAAGGCTCTGGCCATTGCATCCTCCATGGTAGAGAGGTGTGCTTGCTTCACTTGTATCTTCAGTTGTGGACTGTCCAAGGCATCTACGAACTGATCCCTTAGCAACAACTTGAGGAGATCGGGTGGTGCAGTTGGGTAGGCTTTGTGTGCCATGCTTTCCAAGTCTTGTGCCAGCTCTTGCAGGCTCTCCCCTTTAGCACGGATTCTCGTCCTAAACCTAGCCCTGTAGACTTTTGAGTGATTCTGGGTTCCGTACCTGAGTTCCAGAGCCTCTACCAGTGCTCTATAGTTGTGTCTGTCGTCTGCTGATAACTGTCCAAGTATTTCCAGTGGTTGTCCCTTCAAGCTCGTTGCCAGATATACAGCTTTCTGCTCCTCTGTCCATCCATTCATCTCTGCCAGAAGCTCAAATTGTGCTCCATATACTTCCCACGGTGCCTTCCCATCGAATTCCTGTGGCTTCCTTCGCACTGGATCACTCCTATTACTGACATTCATATCTGGGATGTGACTTCTAACGGGACTGAATATGTCTACATTAGGGTTTAGCTGCGGGCTCTGTAAGGGGCTTGCCATTGTCTAGGGCTGATTAAGTCGATGGTCAGTGTATCCTCCTTGTGTAAAGACAATAGATCGTCCTTTAACGTACCTAATTCGCTTTTAAATTTACTAATGT